CAAAGTTCCCTAGCCTTAGCATAGTAGATCTTTAGTTAATAAAGTTTGAACAAATAGGACATTAGTTCAAGTCTGTTTCCATTAGCAGTTTTGTGTGTAAATAAAAACAGCTCTTGGGCCAGGTGTGGTGCCTCACGCCTGTAATCCCAGCAATTTGGAGGCCAAGGCGGGTGGATCACCTGAGGTCGGGAGTTCAAGACCAGCCTGACCAACATGGTGAAACCCCGTCTTTAAAAAAAGGAAAAAAAAGAAAAACAGCTCTCCATGGCTCCCTCCAGCCATGTTTAAGACCTTAGAAATAAGGCAGTCCTACCTCAGAAGAGCCTGAAAACCTAAAAGTAGAGGTGCTGCCCAAAATCAAATTACAGAGCTTAAATAGTAAGCTTTGAAGTGGCCATACTACATGGACAAGCAGAAGTTGATGGATTTTAAGCCCTTTCAGATTCCAGTCACTTAAAAATAATCATAATAGAGCCCATTACCAAAAGACAAGTGTAAGTTTTCAAAGAACATTGGTAAAAAATGCTAATCTGAGCATTGGAATTGTTGCTTGGGCCTCGAAATTGCACTGGAAATTGACCTTACTGTCTGAAACAACAGAGGTGAAGCCTTATGCCCCTGTGGAGAACAGATAGTAAAGGCATTTTGTAAGCCTTGAGCAAGCTGCAGCTGCTGCCAGTGTTACAAACAAGAACATTTTCAACCATGAATCCATCTGGTGAGATAAAACTGAAAATTCATCTAATTCCAACATATAGGATTGCCCCACAGCTGTGAAACCTTCCAGATAAGGACAGAATGAACACTCTTAAATCATTGAAGTCTGGCATGGAGAGCAGGGAGCACAGCCTTCTTTCACATGCCTTGAAGACACCCATAGATGCACTTTTACCCAGGTACCAGATTTCACTGAAAATCTGATTTAAACACTGCAAAAAGTATGCCTATTTAGAAATTTTTGTCAGTCCTCCACTTTATTTTAGGATGGAAAATTGAGCCATAAATCAAACTTAACTTGAATCCTGAAAACTTCTGATATTGTCAAAAATTAATCAGCTCTGTAGAATGATGGTGTGACAAACATGAAATATTGAGTGGTTGCTTTGAAAAAGAGGCTTTCACTTAATATTGATGATGTTCATTTCTTTGGACAGAGTTTTGCTTCTCATTTAAATGTGACTAAGCCCCATGGCTGTATAAGTTTATTCAAAACAACACAGTGCTGTTCTACATAAAGCAGATGTACTGTTGCTCAGAAGTAGGAAATGGTGTGGTGTTGATAGTCTTCGGACTCAAATAGGGCTGAGTTCAAATCCCAACTCTGTCGCATGTAGCTGCATGTTACTTCAGTTTTCTCGTATGCAGGAGTGGAGCTAATAATAGCTGCTCCATAGGCTGTTATACTGATTAAACAGGGCCAGGCACAGTGGCTCACACCTGTAATCCCAGCACTTTAGAAGGCCAAGGCAGACAGATTGCTTGAGTCCAGAAGTTCGAGACCAGCCTGGCAACATACTGAGACCCCCATCTCTATTTTTTAGAAAAAGTAATTTAAAAAAAGAACATACAAGTGAAGTACCTGGCCCATAGTACATTCTCAGTAAATGGTCGCTGTTAAGCCAGGCATGGAGACTCATGCCTGTTATCCCAGCACTTTGGAAGGCTGAGGCCAGTGGATCATCTGAGGTCAGTGGATCACCTGAGGTCAGGAGTTCGAGACCAGCCTGGCCAACAGGGAGAAACCCCATCTCTCCTAAAATTACAAAAATTAGCCAAACATGGTGGTGTGCACCTGTAATCTCAGCTACTCAGGAGGCTGAGACAGGAGAATTGCTTGAACCTGGGAGGCAGAGGTTGCAGTGAGCCAAGATGATGCCATTGCACTCTAGCCTGGGTAATGAGTGAAACTCTGTCTTAAAAAAGGAAGAAAAAAAAAGGTCACTGTTATAGGTTGGTACGGAAGTAATTGTATTAAAATACAGTTCTATGTCTCGCTCACTGACACAGTCTCACCACTGAGGAAACAAATTTAGGTGTCTATCAACCTACCGAGCTAGCTGAAGAAATAACAACTAGAAGAGAATTCACTCTTGACTTTCTTATTTCATGTCTTATATGTAAGTCCTGCCTCTATCAATGTCCTAGCATTTTATTGCTATTTTGGGGAAAACTTGAAAATATATTACTCTTCTTTAAAATTATACTCTCGGAGAACGATCCAAGATGGCCGATCACTAACATCCCGGGATTGCAGCTCTCAGGGAAGGCGCGGAGAACTAGAGGACGCCACACTTTCAGACAAAGTCTGGTCGCTCAGGAAGCAGAAGATCCCCCAGTGGTGGAAACACACGAGTCGCCAGCGCGACTCTCGTGGTCGGCGCAGCCGTTCCGCCGGCACCTCGAAGCGGCAGCGCTCGGCGCAGAGTAAACAGGACTGGTTCCCCTTCTGACCGAGGTTTGGAGCCCCGGGAAGGCAGAGTCGCCTACTACGGAAACAAGAAGGAAGCCCGACAGGAGAATCCTGGGCAGAAAAGCACCATCAGTTTTAACGCCGCTGCTCTGGCCCTGGGAACTAACAACCTGGACGCCCACTCAAGAGACCTAATCTGAAAGTTGGTAATTTCAAAGAAGACAGGAGGATAAATTTACAATGACGGGAAGAAACCAGCGTAAAAAAGCTGAGAATACTCAAAGTCAGAACGCCTCTCCCTCTAAAGATGATCACAGTTCCACATCAACAATGGAACAAGGCTTGATGGAGAACGAGCGCCTCCTGATGACAGAATCACTCTTCAAGGAATGGATAATAACACACTTCGGTGAGTTAAAAGAACATGTTGTAGCCCAACGTAAAGAAACTAGGAACTTTGAAAAAAGGTTTGATGAAATCCTATTGAGAATAGACAACTTAGAGCGGAGTATGAGTGAATTAATGGAACTGAAGAATACAATACAGGAACTCCGAGAAGTATGCACAGGTTTAAACACTCGAATTGTTCAAGCAGAAGAAGGGATATCAGAGGTCAAAGTCCAACTTAATGAAATAAAACGTGAAGAAAAGATTAGAGGAAAAAGGATAAAAAGGAATGAGCAAAGTCTCCAAGAAATGTGGGACTATGTGAAAAGACCAAATTTACGTTTGATAGGTGTACCTGAATGCGACGGAGAGAATGAATCCAAGCTGGAAAATACCCTTCAGGATATTATTCAGGAAAATTTTCCTAAACTAGCAAAGCAGGTCAACATTCAACCCCAGGTAATACAGAGAACACCACAAAGATATTCCTCAAGAAGAGCAACCCCAAGGCATATAATCGTTAGATTCACCAGGGTTGAAACGAAGGAGAGGATACTAAGGGCAGCCAGAGAGAAAGGTCAGATTACCCACAAAGGCAAGCGTATCAGACTTACAGCAGATCTCTCGGCAGAAACTCTACAGGCCAGAAGAGAGTGGGGGCCAATATTCAACATCCTCAAAGAACAGAACCTTCAGCCCAGAATTTCATATCCAGCCAAACTAAGCTTCACAACTGAAGGAAAAATAAAATCTTTTATGAACAAGCAAGAACTCAGAGATTTTATTACCACCAGGCCTGCTTTACAAGAGCTTCTGAAAGAAGCATTACACACAGAAAGAAACAACCAGTATTAGCCTTTCTAAAAATACACCAAAAAGTAAAGAGCACCAACATAAAGAAGAATTTACACCAACAAATGGAAAAAAACAGCCAGTCAACATCAAATGTCAGTAACCCTAAATTTAAATTGACTGAATTCCCAATCAAAAGACACAGCCAAAACCCAACGGCATGTTACATCCAGACCTGTTTCACATGCAAGGATACACAAAGACTCAAAACCAAGGGATGGAGAAAGATTTACCAACCAAATGGAGAGCAAAAATAAATAATAAATAAATAAAAAGCAGGAGTTGCAATTCTTGTATCGGATAAAATAGATTTTAAAGCAACAAAGATATAGTGGTAAAAGGATCAATGCAACAACAAGAGCTAACGATCCTAACACCCAGATAGGAGACTTAGATTCAATGAGACAGAAAATTAATAAGGATATCAAGGACTCGAACTCAGATCCAGAACAAGTAAACTTAATAAATATTTATAGAGCTCTCCACTTCAAATACACAAAATATACATTCTTGTCAATACCACATCACAACTACCCATTAGTTTAAATGAAACATTGATTGGCCATTATTAATACCCAATTTTTTTCAAAATAAAGCAATATTTCCATTTACTCTCCCTCTTTCTCTTCCTCTTTCTTCCTCTCCTTTACTTATTTTTTTTTTTCTTTCCTTCTCTCAAAAAAAAAGAAATCAACTTGTAAACCTCTAGATCCGGGTCGGCAATGTCTCTTTCATTGCTTGATTTCCTTTCTTCCCTTCCCTCCCTCCCTCCCTCCCCGCTTCCTCCCTTCCTTCCTTCCTTCATCCCTTCCTTCCTCCCTACCGTCCTTATTCCCTTCCTTCCTGCCTTCCTCCCCACCCCAAAAAATAAAAATAAAAAAATAAAATTATACTCTCAAACCTTTATGAATTTTTTAGAAATAAATATTATTGTCTTTAAAGCAAAATTAGGAATGCTTCTGTTTTCAAGATAATCAGGATATCAGGACAGTCTGGGTCTGTTTAGTAAACGTTATCAATCTGTTCCATTAACCATAAACATCCAGAGGCTAGGAATACCGAACTTACTGGGAATGCAGCCCAGCAAGTCCCAGCCTCATTTTTCCTAGCTCTCACTCAAGATGACGTTGCTCTGGTTTGACTGTCTCTGACAATAGTAAGTGGCAGATCTGGGATAAGAACCTAGATCTTCTGTTTCTTCATTTTTCCTTATCTTACTGAGAATTGTAGCTCAAAAATACAGTCCCAGTCATCAGCTATTTTCTGCCATCAAACACAGCTAGTCATTTCCTGTTCCACGTCAAAATACTTTCCGTTGACCCCAGGAACACTCTTTCTGTTTCCCTCGCAGTTTGAACGCCATGACCCTGTGGATGGGAGAATTACTGAGCGGCAGTTTGGTGGCATGCTACTTGCCTACAGTGGGGTGCAGTCCAAGAAGCTGACCGCCATGCAGAGGCAGCTCAAAAAGCACTTCAAAGAAGGAAAGGTAGGTGGCTTTGGCTGGAGGAAGAAAAGAAACCATGGGAATGTCTGGTTATTATGTAATATAAAGGTACTAACATGTGATGAGAATGTTTCATGAACCAACAGTTACACCTAATTCATTTCTGGTACCTAAGGTCCAAAGGGAGAAACGAAATAGGCAACAGGTGAGGAAGAGGAGAGCATCCAGAATCACCCCAGGTTTTTTGTTCAGGAAAGGGTGGCACAAACAGATTGAGAATTTTAAAAGAGAGACTGGTTTATATGAGAAAATAAAGAGTTCAGTCATGGACACCTTAAATTTAAGATGCCTGTGGAGTAAAGTAGAGATGGTCGGCAGGCAGCTTCATATTCACATTACCTCGGAGGTCTGGGATAGATTTGGGAATCATCAACACATATTAGAATTACAACCATAAAAACAATTGCCCAAGGAGGATGTTTTGCAGAAAAGAACTGTGGGCCAAGGACAGAATCCAATGGGACACAAACATTTAAGCAGCTCAGGAAGCAAATCTAGAAGAAATGGTTAGAGAATACCTAAAGAAGCAGGCACAGTGGCTCATGCCCGAAATCCCAGCGCTTTGGGAGGCCGAGGTGGGTGCATCACTTGAGGTCAGAAGTTCAAGACCAGCCTGGCCAACATGGTGAAACTCCATCTCTACTAAAAATACAAAAATTAGCAGGGCATGGTGGCATGCACCTGTAATTTCAGCTACTCAGAGGCTGAGGCATAAGAATCACTTGAAACCAAGAGGCAGAGATTATGGTGAGCAGAGATCACACCACTGCACTGCAGCCTAGGCAACAGAGACTACATCTCAAAAAAAAAAAACAGAGAATACCTAAAGAGAGAAGTGAAATCAAAGCCAAGGAAGTAGAGGGTTCAAGAACTGAGGGATCTAAGGTGTCGCATATAACAGAGAGGATCCTGTAAGCTAAAGGTGGTAACATGCATTGGTTTTGGTGAAATGGCAGTAATTGGTGACCTTTGAGAGGGGTGTTTCATTAGAATGGTCTAGTTGGAAGGCTTATTTGATTAAAAGTACAGAAGCAGAGAAAGGAGAGAGGTAGAAGAGGAGGTGCTGGAAAGTGGGAAATCACATAGGCAAATTCCAAGGCAGTGTATTAGCCTACTTGGCTGCTGTAACAAAATACCACAGACTGGGGTGGCTTTAACAAGAGAAATTTATTTTCTCACACTCCTAGAGGCTACAAGCCTGTGATCAAGGTGCCAGCTGATTTGGTTTCTGATAAGAGCTCTCTTCCGGCCTTGCAGGTAGCTGACTTTTCAACAGGCTTTCCTCAGTGTGTGTGCATGCAGAGAGAGAAATCTCTGGTGTTTCTTCTTATAAGAACACTAACCCTCGCAGATTGGGGCCCCATCCTTGTGACCTCATTTAGTCTTGTTATTTCCTCTAAGGCCCCATCTCCAAATACAACCACAGTGGGCACACTGGGGGTTAGGGAGGGCTTCAACATATGAATGGGGTGAGGGGTGAAGGGGAGTCACAAACATTCAGTTCATAACAGGCCGGAAAAACAAACCTGGCATGTGTGAAGAACTGAAAGGGGACTAGTTTGGATAGAGGGTACTAAGCAAAAGGGAGAATGGCCTGAGCTGAGCTCAGAGAGGGATACAAGGACCAGAACATGCAGGACTTCATAGGGAAGGAAGGAGTTTGGAGTTGACACAAAGTGCAATGGGATACCATTAAAGAATTGTGAGTAGTGAAATGACATGGTTGTATCTATGTTTAAAGAGACAACCCTAGCTATTTTATGGAAGATAGTTTGGAGAAGAGCAAGAATAGAAACAAAAAGACTGATGATAAGGCTTTTAGACTTTAGGAGGAGATGAGTTAGAGTTTTTTGAGCAGCCTTGAGGTTGGACACCATGGATTTGTGGAATACTAGCAACACTGCTCTCTAGAGGTACCCTTCAACACCAGCTACACCTAGTGCAAGGAAAGAAAAGATGGTGGCCAGATGTGGTGGTTCATGTCTGAAATCCTAACACTTTGGGAGGTCAAGGCAGGCAGATCATCTGAGGTCAGGAATTCAAGCCAGTCTGCCCAATATGGCGAAACCCTGTCTCTACTAAAAATACAAAAATTAGCCAGGCGTGGTGGTGAGTGCCTATAATCCCAGCTACTTAGGAGGCTGAAGCAGAAGAATCACTTGAACCCAGGAGGGTGGAGGTTGCAGTAAGCCAAGATTACATTTCACTCCAGCCTGAGAGAAAGAACAAAACTCTGTCTCCAAAAAAAAAAAAAAAAGAAAAGAAAAGAAAAGATGGTAGGACTGAGTCAGCAACTGAGAGTGAGATGAACAAATGGAAGCAGATGAGTTAAAAGGTCAGGCCTCATAGGACACAGTGGCTTATGCCTGTAAGCCCAGCAATTTGGGAGGCCACGGAGGGAGGATCACTTGAGCCCAGAAGTTCAAAACCAGCCTAGGCAAAATGGTGAAACCCTGTCTCCACAAAAAATACAAAAATTAGCCAGGCATTGTGGCACAGGTCTGTAGTCCCAGCTACTCAGGAGGCTGAGGTGGGAGGATCACTGGAACCTGGGGAGGTTGAGGCTGCAGTTAGCTATGATCATGCTACTGCACTCCAGCCTGGGTGACCGTGTGAGACCTTGTCTTTAAACAAAAAAAAAAAAATTGCTGGGCGCGGTGGCTCATGCCTGTAATCCTAGCACTTTGGGAGGCCGAGGTGGGTGGATCACCTGAGGTCAGGAGTTCAAGACCAGCCTGGCCATCATGGTGAAACCCCATCTTTTAAAAAAATAAAATAAAATAAATTCAATCCTCTAGGAGAACACACACACACAAAGCAGTGCTAGGGCAAGAACCCAGATCTTCTCATTCCCTGCCCAATACTCTTCTCACTAGACAATGGCTACCATCTGGCCATGAGCAAAAATCTAACCTGGCACTAAAAATGTTCCATGAGAGACTGCCAAGTATATTAGTCCATTCTCATGCTGCTAATAAAAACATGCCTGAGGCTGGATAATTTGTAAAGGAAAGAGGTTTGATGAACTCACAGTTCCACATGGCTGGGGAGGCCTCACAATCATGGTGGAAGGCAAAGGAGAAGAAAAGACACATCTTACACGGCGGCAGGCAAGAAAGAAAGCGTGTGCAGGGAACTCCCCTTTATAAAACCATCAGATATTTTAAGACTTATTCACTATCACAAGAAACAGCACAGGAAAGACCTACCCTCATGATCAATTACCTCCTACCAGGTCCCTTCCACACACATGGGAATTATGGGAGCTACAGTTTGAGATTTGGGTACACAGCCAAACCGTATCACCAAGGTAATGTGGTGTGGTAGGCATGAAGATGGAAAGACTTGAGATCAAGTTCTGCCTCAGAGGTTTCCATAGTCATTAGATAAATCACTTAACCTTATTGGTCTCATGAATAGAGAGGCTTATCCTAGTTGCTCACTATAAGGGCCCTTCTAGCTTTAAAGATTCAATAGTTGAAAATAAGATAGCAGATTCCTATTGCTTGTCCCAGTTTTCTTAGTTAGTCTTTGTGCAAGAAATCTTGCATGCATAGCGTTGCCCCAACTTGGTGGAAAGCCCTTCTTAGCAGCTAGAATTTTTCCTCCTTGTCTTGGTTATTGAAAAGTTGAAAGGACCTCTGAACTAGGCTATGGACTGCAAATGATGGCAGGCTGGGCTCTGAGAGGAAGTGTCAGCTTCTCTGAACTCAGTCCAGCCTTTTCCCACGGCAAGTGTTCTCTTGGCTGTGGGGAAAACTCATCATTAATGGAAAGTGACAGAGAAAAAACATTTATCTCCCACAGAGCACTTCTACACTACCTGGTACTTAGCTCATATCTGTTAAAAATGATAATTTCAGAAAATTGATTATGAATGTGTAGGTGGAGTTTTTAGCCCCTGTGCTGGAAGATTAGTGTTTGCATTCAGACATACTCCTTTATTTTGACTGGGCTTATTTTTAAAGGTTGGTCCAGATATTGATTTGACTTTATCTATCATGATAGGTGAATTCATATTTCATTATGAATTTAGACTTAAAAGCAATAAATTGGGCATTGGCAGCATCTCCCTTGAAGTAATAGAGTAATTGAGCATTGACAGGAGTTAACTTAGGATCTGAAGCCCTTGCTAAAGAGCTCTGAAATGAAAGGACAAATTTTGACAGATGGTGAAAATCTGCTATGTTAAATAACTTTTGGCCCAGAATTTCTAGCCCGTGTTAGGAAAGAGATTAAGATTGATTGTCCTCTCATGTTGATTAAATAGTTTGTGAATATAGCAATTAACTAAAGTGAGTGTTAATGAAGGGCCTTTGCTCATAAGGTTACCGGCCATCTCTCTAGGACCATTTCCTACAAAAAGGGAATCACAATCTGCCTTCCGATTGCTTCTTTTATTCCACTTTGGATTTATTAACATGAAAATGTAAGTTTTCCTTTGGCTGACATTCATCAGTTTCTGTGTGAGATTCTATACCAATATCAAACAAGACCTAAAGGATTGAAGGTCCTAGTGATGGTATTAAATTTTTGCATATAAATTAATGACCATGCAATGTTTCACAGCCATTTTTCTCTTTCTTTCTAACAGCCTTGTTAGATACTCTGCCTTTCAGAATATAGAGACAGAAAGAGAAATTAATGACCCATTCAGAGTCTGTTCTAAAATCCAAGGCTTCCTATTGCAGATCTTGCCTTTTCCATAAGAAAGTGCTTTTTCTCCTAAATCATACTCTTCCTCTAAAGCAGTGCTTCCTCTACAGTAGGATCACTTGAGGAATTTTAAGGAATGTGGTTGTTGGGGCCCTCTTCAAACCAATTAAATCAGAGGCTTAGTAGCTGAGGCCAGGCATCAGTGTTTTGGGGTTTTTTTGTTCCTGTTTTTTGTTTTAGTCCCTCCAGATTAGCTATACTGCATTATGTTTTCTGCATGAGAAATTCCAGAACTGTTTCTTAAAGGGTGTTACGGTTTGGCTGTG